TCTGTCTGTCTGTCTGTCTGTCTGTCTGTCTGTCTGTCTGTCTGTCTGTCTGTCTCTCCCTCTCTCTCTCTCTCCTTTTCAAGCAAAAGAGAAGAAAAACTATGCGGAAAACTGAAAAAAACAAAACAACACAAGGCACGATCTATCAGTGAGACGTAGCAGTGGAACAGAGCCACACTAGAAGGGTTCATAAATGCATGGTATAAATTGTGAAATCGTATAGGTTTTCCGCCCCTATCAACACTAATAGGTTATTCAAGGGGTGGGACATTCGAGTTTAATGTCCATCTCCGAAAGGACCTAACATAATGGGAACGTCGTGCAAAGTGTCTTTACCAAGGACAGACACAACGTCGGATCGAGCTGAGGCTCGAATCCCCGAACCCGCAAGCTCACGATTACGAGTCCGGTGGCCTAACGACTAAGCTATCAACGTCACTTATAAAGGCATGAAATACGTTATAAGTATATCTTGATTTCTAACTAGATAGTTCACTCGGCCACAAAAAGTGTCCGCGGAAGTCCGCACATTGATGCAGATGGCGCTGCAGTCTTTGTTTGAAGCTCTTTCATTTCTCCAGAAGAAGAATAGGAATAGCGTAGTTCGTTAGTTTCGCTTTTATTGTTTTTCGCACAAGTAAGGTAACTGTTCGCAAAGTGCGCACTTTTTCGAAGAGGGTGCCACCGAATTTTGAAGACACTTTTTTAAATTGGCTCAAAGAGAGGAGTGAACTATCTTGTTATGTACGATCTTTGTTTCTACTTCGCGGATTTTCCAGTATCGTGGGAGGTTATGGAACGTAGGGCCGTGATATTCGAGGGAATAATGTAGCCTATAATCAGCACTTGCCAACCTTGCCAATATTTGATTATATAGCCATCGCCCACTCTTGCCACCTGTAAGATCATGCTGAAATGTTCATACAGCCCACCTACATGTATTTCCGCGGCGAGCAGTAAGTTACCTGTCTCTACGCCGAATATAATAAATATGTATATATATATATATATATATATATATACATATATATACATATATTGTGTGTGTGTGTGTGTGTGTGTGTATGTGTGTGTGTGTTCCCCAACACCCACCATAATGATCAAATCGCCCACAAGTGGGCAAAATCAGCCAGGTCTGTGATATGATTGATCTTATATTTCTTTTACTGTAATTGTGATGTTTCCTTTTTCCGTTTTCCCCTCAGGGCTCACATCACAAAGGTGACTTGTCTTCTCAATACGTTCATGACGCCCACCACTGCAAGAAAAACCTGATCGCTGACAGCCCGCATCTCTGTGTGTGACGTCACGACCAGGGTACAGTTAGGACAGCACACACCGATTGTTCAGAGAGGTAACACACTTTGCTACCTTGTTGGTGACCTGGGTTCGCAGCCTAATTGGGGGCTCCGCGAGCTGACACAATTGGAAGTGGGTTTTTTTCTTCAACACTTCTCTATCAAACTCGTAAGATTATTCGAAGTCATTTTCAAGATATTCAAAGAAATACGTTCGAAAAAGTTTGATAGATATCTATGATATGAAACTCAAAATTAATCTTTGACGTCAAATTGATTAAAACTACGTTCTGAGCAGATAGAACTTTGTAATTCTTAGGTAACGACATGCTGACTGCTTTGTGTAAGACTAAAACAAAAACGGCCATTTTGAAAAGTGACGTAATAGCGGGGTCTTACACTGAGTATTCTGTGTGCAAACAGATTATTATAGTAATAGGGGATGGGCCTCTCATTCTGATACATATAATATTATATATCTTTGGCATGATATTGTCCAGAGAACAGAAACAAAATACCACAATCATGCACGCTAAGTGACAAGAGCAGTAGTTAAAGAAGAGGGGAAGGAAGGCGGGGAGGAGGAGTCTTGTCAGTTTGATAGTGTTTGAGCGCATGAAATCCGCAGCTTGCACTGTATGCTTCCGCGGAAGCCGAGAATGTTTCTGAGTGTTTTCAGAGGATCTGCTGGGGTAATAATGGTTGTAAAGCGCATAGAGCATGCTCTTGAGCATGGATATGCGCTATATAAATGCAATTAATATTATTAGGAGGAGAGGGGGAGAAGGATGATGATGATGATGATGATGATGATGATGATGATGATGATGATGATGATGATAAGATAAGATAAGGAGCTGGAGTGGGAAAATGACAAAAGTATAGACCTGATACTCTTTTTATTATTGTTGTTATGATTGTTGTTGTCGTCGTTGTCATAATTTTGTTATTTCAGTCGGTCTTATTGTTGTTGCTATTTGTTGATGTTGTTGTAGCTGTTGTTGTTGTTTGAATTCACTTTTCCTTTCGATAAAACTGTTATCTCACATGCCTTCATAAAGCCCACTCCTCTCTAATGGTGTCATACATTGCTTCTGTACTGTACTGATTGTCACCCATTACTTTTTTACTTTGCAGATCTCCCAGTCAGGGGTTTATTTTTCCCTCCAGTTATACCTCTCAAGAAGCAGAGAGTCCCCCCCTCCCCCATTGAGACAGCCCTGATAGATAACTGTCCGGTCCCTCTACGATCTTACAGCAGACATTGAGAGGCTCCGTTCCGGACTGGCGGCTCCGCTAACGGTTTGCCAGCGCGTTTCGGAAATGCTTTAGCCTCTGTGACATCTCCGCTTCTCCCGCCCCAGTTATGTTCATTGTGGTTCTTTCAGCGAGACGTCGCATGGATGAACTGTGCACATGAAAGACGTCAGGTTCACTTTGTGATTTATAATTTCCTGGATTTTGATCGCGCCTCTGAAAGAAATGAGAGCGCGTGTTCGGGACAAGAGCGGTGTTAAGATTGTGTGAAATCGACTCTGCGACTTACTGCTGAAAAGTGGAAGGGCTTTATTCACGACAACAAAGGCACTACTTTAAGGATTTATTCACATACACGTTTTGAAAATGTCTTTTTGATTAAGACAAGGAGCAAGGAGACTAGCCTCAGAACTGGGTTATAGGAAAGACATTCTCTTTGTGGCAGTGCTACCCAACAAGCCGTTTTTCTCACAGACAACGGATCACAACTCTGAACAACAGAAACAACGCGGAAGATTAACCACGGAATGCCTGTTGAGGGTTTATTCTTTCTTGGTTTCTTGTGTTATTCTGGCAGCAGCAATAGCAACAGCAGCAGCAGTAACAACAGCTTCAACAAAAACAACAACAATAACAACGACGACGACAAAAACAGCAGAACAAAAACAACAACAACAACAACAACAACAACAACAACAACAACAACAACAACAACGGACACCATTGTTACCCTTTGCAGCTTGAGGTACCGGGGTTGACCACTCAGGTTTAAAGAATTCTTTGTTTTCACGGCTTGTTCTCTGCACTGTTTTTCAAACATGCTCTTGGGCTGATCATCTCGAGACCTGTGGAAACGCAACAGATATTTTTTTCGCTGTGGATATTTATTACATCTAGGAATACTCTGGGAACTCAGTGAAGCATGGCTGTTTGTGGCAACTCACCAATCAGAACCATGTCAGGAAGGTTGTTCTTGATGTGCATTATATTATTATACTGCTGTGTGCTGCCGCAAGGCATTCTGGGTCAGGACAAAGTCTACGACTTCGATGAGGAGGAAGCTGCTGGGTCATTTGTTGGGAACGTGGCAAGAGACCTCAACCTGGAGGAGATTATAGCGCCGGGGATCTTCAACTCTCTCCGATACAGGTAGAAATAATGTTGTTGTTGCTGCGGTTGTTACTGTTGTTGTTGTTGTTGTTGTTGTTATTGTCATTGTCATTGCTATTGATAATGTTAATGTTCTTGTTATTGTTTTGTCATTGTTACCATTGCCATCATCATATAGGCTTAGTTCTGGCTTGTGTGTGATAATAATAATAATAATAATAATAATAATAATAATAATAATAATAATAATAATAATAATAATAATAATGATAATAATAGTAATTTAAAAACATAAAAGTAATAATAATAATAATAATAATAATGATAATAATAATAATAATGATAATAATAATTTCTATTACTATTTTTGTTGTTGTTGTTGTTGTTGTTGTTGTTGTTGTTGTTGTTGTTGTTGTTGTTGCTGTCTTCAAGGCTTATCTGGGTTCCGTATGAGTGTGTGTTTGGTTGCATGTTTGTTATATAAATAATATGCGTTTGTTGATTTGTTTGCAAGATGTGTAGAATTTGTTCTTTATGTGTGTATTTTATGTGTATGGTGTGTTTGTTTATCTGTTTGTGCAAGAGGGCAAAAGTGTGTGTGTGTTAGTATATTTGTGTGCTGTGAGTGTATAATGTGAGGGCGTATGTGTGTGTGTATGTGTGTGTGTGTGTGTGTGTGTGTTTGTTTGTGCGTGCATGCGTGAGTGCATGTGTGTGCTCGCGCGTGTGTGTGTATGTTTGTGTGTGCTCACGAGTGTTTGTGTGTGTGTGTGTGTGTTAGTGTGTGTGTATGTGTGTGTGTGTGTGTGTGTGTGTGTATGTGTCTGTGTGTGTGTGAATGGGTATCTGTGTATGTTTGAACACCAACGTATACGTAGGTGCACATGCTTGCATGGTGTTCCATTGTAGTAATGTGCAGGACTCGTTTGAAAAGATAGAGAGCGAGAGAGAGAAAGAGAAAGAGAGAGAGAGAGATTGAAAGAAAGAGAGAGAGAGAGAGTTGGGGAGAGAAAAGGGTGAGACAGATAACGAGAGTAGGAGGGAGAGGGTGAGAAACGGGAGAGACAGAGAAAGAGAGAGAAAGAGAGAGAGAGGAGAGAGAGGGAGAGAGAGAAAGAGGGGGTGGAAGAGATAAAAGGAAGAGAGAGAGAGAGGGAGAGAGATTGAGAGAGAGAGAAAGAAAGAGAGAGAGAATGAGAGAGAGAGAAAGAGAGAGAGGGAGGGAGAGAGAGAGAGA